CTGCGGGCCGGATCAAAGTGTTAGGCGGGCCGGATCCAGACCCCGGGCTGCATTTTGCCCAGTCCTGCCTAAATGGCAACTTTTCAGCAAACTTAGTCAAGTGTAACTGAGAGCATCGTTTGGTTCATATATTCTTAAACAAAGTGGCTGATGAACTGGAAGTCATGTGTGAGTATCATATTTGGCATATGCATATCTATCAGTATGCACTTATTCAATAAGGCAATGCAGAATCTTCTCATTGTTTGCTATATGCTCCTGGATTTCAGAATATATATTCAGTGTCTGATACATTTTGCTTTTACCCAGGAAGAATTTGCCGGATAAAGTATTCAGTAAGGTTTCTTTCTGAGGAGAGTTCTTCAACTGAACTATCCTTTCTCGTGTAGATCACAGAAGATCCCAATTTTCATACGTCATTCTTGGAGATGAAAGATGCTGCTTCAAATCTAAACCTCCTGACTCCCCCTGCAGCGAAGTCTAGAAAATACAGAATCTGTTTGGATTGAATTCCTTTGTTTAGGCATATAGGTCTATTCTATTGCAGGCTCAATTTTCCCTTTCAAGCTCTTGATTTTGCATTTTAAGTCCTACCATACTTTCCTGTTTGGCCTTCTTGCTTTGTTCTTTTTGTATCGGATGTTGAGAAAGTAAGCTGCCTATTGAAGAGTTGCCTTTTTGGTGTTTTTAAAACAGCACTATACTTAAGTACATTAGTATGGAGACAAGAAACTTTTGGGCAGTTGGGACTTTTTTCTGTGCAGAAGGTCTATGGCTGATTTGTCAGGTTAATAAATAGCCTTAATCTATTCTTAATTGGATTAAGAAACAGGATTTTCTGCCAGTTGTTCCCCTGCATAAAAAGAATTTGACTGATAGTTTATTTGATTTCTGTTCCTGAAATAATAGTGTAGAGAAGTCTAGGTAACATAATTGCCCCATACATTAGCCTTTTTTTGGTCAGGAGTGGGTTGAGGCATTCTTGCAAAGTGAAATGGCTCTGTTGCCATCAGTATAATCTCAGACAAAAACATGTCATTTTTCTAAAGCTGGTAACACATTGTCCTCAGATTCCCCAGGTTAGAAAAGTTCTGATCTGCTATGTAGCTAAGATTCTTTGTGTTTCATTATATTTTATTTTTGGCACTGCAGTGCTTTGAAAAGCTGTTTGATTGACAACTGTAGAATTGGAAGTCCTCTTTTTAGCTGAAGACGTTGTAGGATCAGTATTCTGCCAAAGCATCCAAAGGTTCACTTGGAAAGACTGTGATTAGAGATAGAAGAATCCCTTACTCTTGGCAGCTGCCTTAAACTTCTTTCCTCCTGCTCCCACTATTCTCAGCCTTCCACTAGGTATCTGAAGTGTCCTGGCAAGAGCCACTAATTGCCTCCTCCTACGGCTGTTTCCATTTTCTGGCTGCTTCTGTCCTTCCCACTTTCTGGTCTATCTATACGCAAACTCCTTACAGTCACAGTCTCCTTTCCAGCACCCAAATGGATTCTCGGATACATCCTCTCAGCATCCCTGATTTCTGAAGCTAACCAATGCATTAAAAAGTCATAGCACACAAACACAGCTGTTCTGAGCATCTAAGGCTACGTTGATATTTTAATTGGCACCAGAAAGTCACCTTTCAGTAGCTAATTCTGGCCATCCCAAATATCTTTTTTTAACACTGAAAAATTATGGGGTTTTCAAACCAATAACCTGAGCCTTCACAACAAGCTATTATAGCAATAGAACTCAATGTAAGAGATTGAAACTGTGCTTCCATCCCACTCTCTTATGCTTATGGATGGCAGTGCAGCATATAATATGTAAAATCAGCCAGTTTTGGGAGACCTAAGCAATAGTTTAGCAAACAGTGCAGTACAGACATTTTCAGTCTAATCTCTATCAGACCCATTAATATTTTATGGGCTATAGGTTTTCATACTGCCTTCCCGGAAAGAAAGATAAGAGAGAAAGGAAAGGCATATTATTTTGGTATCACCTTGCTAGTCTGTAACATTAGCAGATCCCTTTTGACCAATATTAAATTAATAGACTTGAAGATTTAATAGTCTTGTTTAGAGTTTTTATTCCCATATCTCTCTCATTCACAAATGATAGAGTAAAGGCACATTTAAAGTCCTATCCTTTTTGCATGCAGAACACTCACTGAAGTCACTGCACTTTCAGTACTGCTGACTTCAAGGTCTAATTGGTGTATCCAAAAATCAGAACAGACAAGAAAAGCAATGGCCTTTTGAATTGTTTTGCAGACATAACTAAGGCGTGTTTTAGAGTGTGCGCAAAATTTTGAAAAGTGACTACGTGAATTAAAAGTCAGACACCACCACCATGCTAAGCTAGTTAGGTACTTTTGATTATGTTACTTTGTATTAACCGTTGTATGCATTAGAGATATTTAAAGGGACACTGCCAATTTAAATTTCAATTTAAAAATAATTTCCTTTTTTATTTAGTACTACAGATGTCTCAAAGAGAAATTTGTTTTCCTATGGGATTTATATTTCTCCATTATCTAGGAATTGCTCTAATGGTTCAAACCACTGATCTCCTTTCTCTTTTGACCCTACACCACTAAAGTCAAGGGGAATTCTGCTTTAGATTGCAATGAGAGCAGGATCGCACCCAGCCAGCTCGTCCTCTAATTGAGAAGAGAAACTGAGAAGATACAGATGTGAGAAAACACATTGGGCTGTTTCATTGTATGGTATCACAGTAAAAAAAAGTAAAAGATTATTAAATCACTCCTATTTGTGACATCCTTTCTGTCCTTCCCCTTGCAAATCTAAGCAATCTATGATACATCTTTCTTTAAAAAAGATACCAGTGGATTTCTTCTCCTTTTCACCAAACAAAGATTAATATTATTGAGAGAGTTGCTAGATAACAGTCTTCCAATATTTACTCACACAGTGAAAGAGTAAGGGTATTAAAATGTAAAGACAATACATTTTAAAATAATTACAGGGGATGGGGTGTTTTTGTTTGTTTTAAATAATCTCACATACTCATAGGCACAAGATGTAGAATTTAAAGGCTTATAAATATATGTGAATAACAAGAATACCTGCAGTTATATTAGATAGCAAAAACTTCATATGGGTGCACATGATCATGTTTCAGGGAAGAAGTAGCAATACCCAGGGATCAAGAAACTCTTTCTGTACATGTCGTTCCAAGAATGTCTGTTATGACGGTTTGGTGGTTTCCCCTGAAAAATCTGGTAATGCCAGATATCTGAGGTGCTGGACTGCATCAATCACTTGTCTGATCCAGGATGGCAACTACAATGCCAGTAGATTTAGTACTAACTTGTGAAAGACTGGGGCAGGAAAAGGTGTGTGTAATGGAGGAGAGAGAAGTGGAGTTGTGGTTAGGTCGGCTAAGCAATGAAGTCTCCAATTCTATTTCCCCCTCCCTCAAATGAAGGGAGGATTCTGCTTCAGAGCAGCTAAAAATTCCCACTCATCCTCTTGAAAAATCTAAATAGTCATGATGAGCAGAGTGATGCGCAAACAGGCAAAAGAAAGCAACATGTACAAATTCTCCTGAACTATGGATGAGCCACCCAGATTGTGTGTGTTTCATTCTTGTAGTCAAGACTAACATAAAATTGCAAAAGAGCACAATATTAATCCATCCTTGTCACAACAATTTTTGTTGCAAGCCCAAGAAATAACAGGTTGACCAGAATTCTTTTTCCCATGGTGATGTAGTGACCATAATTTCTAATTCCATAAAGGCTTACTGTTTTGTCTGTGCTAAACTTCTACTTCCAGCCTTTAGTGAGGTGGTACAATATAGATGCGTGCTGTAAAACTAAGAAATGGGACTTCAACCGGGTAATTAAATATTAGGAATTAACAATAATCTAGTCCCCTCCTTTTAAAGTGTGATAGGAACATAAAGAAGAAAACCTATAGGCATTTATCAATTTGAACATAAAACTGTAACAGATTTTTCAGAGTGATGTTATGCATGCCATTGGTCCATCCTTGATAGAGCACTGTCAACATTTAAAATGGCAGAACTTATTGTGTGTTTTATTTCATGGGCATATACTATTCCAGAGCATGGTTTGGCTTGCAAAGTTATTTGGCGGGACTGGTGGAGAAAGAGCTTACACTCATAGGCCAAAGAACCTTGTTAGAACTCAACTACTGAAGGAAAAAATGGTGTAAAAAAAATCCCACTCTTATATTAGTATGGCTATGCTGTCCTGAGAGGAGAATTGTAATAATTACAAAGCCTGCAGTCAATATTCTGGGATTTTAATATCTGATACTGAACAATGCCACAGTGTAAATATAAGAATATGTGTGTAATACTTAATATTGTAAATTGTGGCTTTGTTTGCTAAGATGCATTCTTGAATACATTGTCTAAATCCCACTCTTATATTAGTATGGCTATGCTGTCCTGAGAGGAGAATTGTAATAATTACAAAGCCTGCAGTCAATATTCTGGGATTTTAATATCTGATACTGAACAATGCCACAGTGTAAATATAAGAATATGTGTGTAATACTTAATATTGTAAATTGTGGCTTTGTTTGCTAAGATGCATTCTTGAATACATTGTCT